CATAGGTGAAATCTACCTGTGAGGGTCTCCTAGAGCCTTTGAAAACTCCTCATTGACTAGAATTGGCTTACTGTTGAGCAAGGAGAAGTTTGACAGGAACAACAGTGAAGAGGTCTCAAGAGATGACACCTCATATGGACTTTTTTCTTCTCTACCTTAAATAGCATCCAAAATGGAAAATCATGGGGAATGGGTCTGGGGACTGATAGAAGGAAATAGCTGTTGGAATGACTTTTACAACATCAAGTCAAGGAGTTTTATTAAGTGCCCAACATTGAATGCTGTGGAGAACAGAGAAAACTTTTAAAACTTTGTCTTTGTTTTTCTGAAAGGGCTCAAAATAGAGAGGACAAAACTTCATGGCAGCAGTAACCAGCATTTGTTCAAAAGTGTGGTTCAAAAGTGTCTTTGCTATGTCAAATGTTGTAGCTCTGGGAGCTGTTGGTTGTGAAGCCTCTGGGATAGAAGCAGCACATGGCCATTGGTCCACATGGTGATAAAACTCACATTTTGATTTCATCAAAGCCATGCTCAAAGGAACAAATTCATTCTCCTAAGATAGGCTGTGATAGGGGACAGTTTGGATGGGCAGCCTGAGAGCACAAAGATACTTTTCTGGTTAGTGAGTACATTCCCTCCACTGAACACTGCTTTTTGAGGCTAAGCAGAAATCACCAATAGCTGACTTGGGAGAATGAAAATCTTTTGCCTACATGTGATACTTCAGTGACTCCCTAACCAGAGAAACTCTGTAAGCAAGCTCAGTGTGTAAAATGATAGGCTTCATCTTTTTTCTGCTCCCTCCAGTGAGGACATAAACAGTACTATTGAGGGAGCATCCTGAAGACTCATTAATGAACTCTTAGGTGGTCTAAATGCAAAAATGATATGTGAAAGGGAGATACCAGCACGCTCTTCTTTTTAATTAATAAGCTTCAGAAGATACAGTACCAAATTAACTTTTCTAGATTATAATTAGTGCAGAACCATTGAACTAATGGTTCAATTTCATTAATGGTTGAAGGTGCACCACTGAACTAACTTGTGAGTAGTGATTGGAAGGACAAGGCAAGGTATTCCATTCAATCCATTAATGGCAACGTACTTGAACTGCCTTTTCAGTTTCCAGAGCTCTCCTATAGTTGGACCTCAAAACAACTCTGACACGTAATAGTTTTATTCTCATTTTTGTTAATAAGGAATGTAAGTTCCAAGCATATTAAGTGACTCCTCCAAGGTCACAGAGCTAAGTAGGGGAGTCGGGTGACACCCAAACACAGACCTTCTGATTTCCAAAGTAATACTTCGCTGACTTTCTGGCAGGGTTGTTTCTGGGCAATAAAATGACTGTGATAATCCTCAGGAAAGATACAGGAAGTGAGGAGAAAACCTGTGACCACTGTCTCTCCAACAGGCTTTTTCATTTGTGAGGAATGGAGAGCTAATTTATTATGTGACTAAGAAGGGAACAGTCACAAATATTGAGCTCAGGGATAACTAGCTTCTATTTCATCAGCTCCAGGTGGGCACAATCATTCTTCAAAGCACACAGTTTTGCTCTACACCATTTCTACCTTCCCTTATTGCTGTTACTAAAATAAATGAATTCCATAGGCATAAGATGAAAGGGAAGAACAACAAATACCATTTTGTATAGACTAAAGTGAGAGTTTTTATTTTTAGAGCAAAACTTTCAAAACCACAATGACCTCTTCCCACTTTGGACAATGGACCATAGACTCCTGATTAACCAATGACAGATAATTAGTTTGTTACTTTCACTAATGGCTTCCCTATCTCCCTAGTTGTTTCTTTTCTGGAGACTTTCTCTAGTCCAGTAGTTCATAACGAGAGTTGATTTTGCTCCCCAACCTCCCATGCCCAGAGAACATTTGGCAATGTCTGGAGACATATTTGATTGTCATGATTACGAGGAGGGGAATTCTGGCATCTGAGGGTACAAGCCAAGAATGGTGCTAAACATTCACAATGCACAGAAAGGCACAATAAAAAAATTATGTGGCCCCATGTCATTGAGATTGCTGAGGGCGAGAATCCCTGCTGCCCATGACACCACCGGGGGAGGTAGGTGGGAGTAGGAGAACCAAGCAGGATTTAAAAACGTGTCACTTGGTCTCACAAAGGGACTGGGGCTGGGGGTAGGGAAGACAGAGAAGTGAGGAGGCTGAGAGCTACAGGGTCCTGAAATCAGTTGAATCCAAAATTCTCATTTTTGGTGCTCCTTTCCCTAGTTCCATAGATCATCTGGAGTTGGCTGCATGTGGGTCGGCTCAGTGAAGACTTTCTTAATCACTTGCCTCTGATGAAAGACCCATTTCATCAGGGTAAATGGTACAGAGGTAATCCCATCCTCCCAGCAATGTTCACAGAATTGACTTCATGACTAATACATTTTCAAAGTTTAAGAAGACCACTCTAATAGCCTTTCTAGTACCTCAAAGAGACCACAGATGAAAGAAGAAAGTAAGAATTTCATAGCGTATTTGCTTGGAAGTTCACACACAAAAAAAAATCAGGTGTAAATTTCTTTTGGCCTGAGGCCGTCAGAGAAATCTCCAGAAAAAAAAAAAAGACCGCATCCAACAACTCGTCAGACTGTTTCAGATTTTCCAGGAGCACAGCTTTGCTAAGTCATTCCAAAGCAGTTCTACCCAAGTTGACATTGGAGAGAGTGAACAACAACTCGTCAGACTGTTTCAGATTTTCCAGGAGCACAGCTTTGCTAAGTCATTCCAAAGCAGTTCTACCCAAGTTGACATTGGAGAGAGTGACCAAAGAGTCAGAATAATATAATATACAATAATAGTCTAAATTATGACCTTAAGTGGACTTGGAATGTCAGAAGCACATCTGAAGGCTCTGTGTATTGTATAAGAAACAGGCAGGGAATCACTTTAGTTCATGCGAATTTCTACAGCAAGGGAACAAAAGTGTTAGGTTAAGTCTCAGGTGAGTTTATTGGAATTAGAGAACCACCAAGATCTACATTCATTTGGGTGACCTTCTTTGGAAGCCTCTCTCCTGGTCATTTAAATTTTTGGGGGAACTTTGACATGGGCGTGGCTCACTGATACAGAAGGTAGAAAACTGCCTCGGAATTAAAAAACAGAAAGTTTCTACTCCTGCCATTAATTAGCAGTGTGACCTCAGGCATGTCACTGCTCTCTGAGGTTTGATTAGATTGTTTTCTAGGGCTTCCAAGCTTGTAGCAGTCTCAATTTTACTTCCTTTGAATGATTAGGTAGTTTTAAGAGGGAGATATTAGAGAGACGCATACTTAGTCAATAGTTTCTTTGGTGTCTTCCCAGGGGCTTCAGTGTGATTTTTTTTTCTTGGCATGGAAACTCTTAATCTTGTATTACACTTGAGCATTTAATGCAGAAGGTTTTAATTTAAAAGACTGTGTGGCCTCTGCTGGTATCATACTTTCTCTTTGTGTCCATGCTGCTGCTGATCAAATACTGCAAAGCCATTACCTTAGGACTAACGCAGAGGGCCACGTGCAAAAGTTCTGGCCGATTGCATAAAGCAATATGCCAGATGTAAAGTAAGTGAAGGGTTTTTCTTGGTATTTAAGGTTCAGTGAAGAAGTAAGAGGGGCAGCTATGCCAAGAATGAAAAGTCAGAGCTTGCCAAGTGCTTCTTTAAGTGGCTTTAGCCAATGTGAGACTAAACAATGCATTAAATAGGCATAGAACTTACTGCAGTTAAGGAATTGCACTTCAAATAACAGCTCTTTGCTACGTTTTAAACATGATCCTGCATATAAAGACAAACAAAATGCTGTGTTGTCATCTTCTTAGTCTCACAGCTAATAAGGCCTGAGGATTTGAACTTTCCAGACAACTGAAAGTAATTCTTTGTGATCTTAGAGCATGCTGATGTTTCATGGAGAGGTGTAGGATGGACCTCTGCCAGGGCAGCAGCTCAGTGCAAAAACAATTTCTTGCCACCATGGTTGTCAAAGACGTCTGGCTGCATACAAGAGCAAAGGCTTTTTAGCCCATTATTGAGAGTAATGAGAAATCTTGGAAGAGGTCTCGAATTAGTGTGTCTGATTCTTTGGTGTGGGCTGTGAAATCGGAAGGAAGGCTGTGAGAGAGATGAGGTGGGCTCCTAACAGAGGCTCTGAGGAATACTGGCATGGTACCTGACGTCTGGACGGGATATATGGAGACCCAGATTATTTGAAGAATACCAAAACTCTCCTTTGGATACATAGCATCTAACCTACCAGCTGTTAAAGATATGAGCCACTCCAATACTGATGTCTTCAAACAACTGGTTGAGTGATACCTGCACAGGTGGAAGCCTTACAACTGCAACTCACTATGGACGTGTCCACCTTCGGAATGTTGACCAACTCACTATCCTGCACAGGTGGAAGCCTTACAACTGGTTGAGTGATACCTGCACGGGTGGAAGCCTTACATCCAAACTGCTGGCTGCCCCCACAGCTCCGTTCAGAGTCAGCTTGGGGAAGTCTCTTCCTGCCTGGCTCACTATCTGGATTATGGTGCCTGTGACCACCTCTCCTTTCCCACCTCTCTCATAGTTCTCAGAGAAACATCCTTGGTCCAGATAAATAGTCCTTCTTCTTTGAGAAAAAGCAACAGAACTAATAACGGCAAGAAATGAAGCACTTAAGGTTTGCTGACAGAGGAAGAAGAGAACTTGAAGTTGTCCAAAGAAGGGGATCCCCCAGATTACTATCTCCTGGTGCTCACAGGTAAGTGGCTTTGTTCTGCCTGAGTGGGACCAATCTGTGAAGGGTCTTGAGGAGCAGCAGACTTGAATCAGAGAACGCTTTTCTTGTGCACCCTAAGGAAATTCTATTAGTATTTCCTAAGTTTCTCTAGAAGATAAAATGTAGGGTCATTACATGGATATCACCCGCACTCCTTCTTTCAAAGAGTTATTCAGAATCGACTAAGTTACCCCAGGTTTCCTGCTTTTTATCTCTTAGAGGAGGACTGGGATTTGGGAAGCATCTCTCTATGCTACAACATGAAGACTGTGAATGGCCAAATGAATATGCTCCCTGGAGAAAAGAGACCCTGACTTTGGTTCCGCATCCACCCAGTGAGGTAAGTTGCAAAATCTTGGTGTCTCACATTTCTCATTTGACCAAAGAAACAATACTTCTTGCTTTCTGAGACTGGGGTAAAGACAAAGTGAGAGAGTTGTTTCAGCTGAATTTTGAAAAGGTCAATATACTAGTCAAAGGTAAGACATTCTTCTCTTTATTGATATGACTACATAAAACTGTAACTTCGACTAAAAGCAGATTTATGACCTGCCCTAACAAGAGAAAATGAATATATTATTAATTGGTCTGTATAGATACCTCAACCTTTGCAATATATTCTATAAATGATGCCAGGAGAGAATAAATAAGTATAATTGCTAACATGGATATGGTGTTTACTATGTGTCAGACACTATTTGAAGTTAGTATGCTCTAACATATTAACTCATTTAATGCTAACACCAGTTCTATGAGATTGGCCCCCTTTTACAAATGAGGAAATTGAGGAACAAAGAGGTGAAGTAACTTGCTCAAGGCCACCCACCTAGTAAGTTGCAGAGCTGGGATTCAAAGTCTGGATTCTTGGCAATACAGACCATGCTCTTGGTCTCGAACCCTTCACTCTCCTGTTTCTTGTAATTCTCCCTCAGGGAGGGGATGGTTTTAAAGAGCATTGAAATGTCAGAAAAATGCAAATTATTTTCTAATTTTTCACAGAAACCCTCGCTTTCTTAGTGGTCTTTGGTTGCATAGACTGGTCCTCTTGGGTCTATTTAAAGGGTAGTAGAAAACATTCAGGGTCTCTATAAAAACTCATTGTTTTTCTTTAAGAATATCTGTGGCCTGTTAGCTTAGTGGTGCTAATGAGGCCAGGGCCATAAGGTCAAACCCCACATGTGCCAAATAGCTTCAAAGAGAAAAGCTTTTCCACAGCTACTGACTGTCCCCTTAACTTCGACCAGCTGCTATACAAATGCATGGCTGGAGGTCTAAGGGGTACCAAGCCAAGCAATGCAAAACTATGCAGTTAAGATCCAGCCCCACTCAAAGCAATGCTAATAGTGGGTGACGGTATCTTTCCTGCCCTGAATTGTACATTCTCTTCTTTCACTGTGATGATTATCAGAAAGGTAGGAAAAGGCTTTTGGTCAAGGTTTAGATGTCTTTAAATTTTTAGTTATCTTCTCAAATTTAATGAACGGTGGATAAAACTGTTCTAGTCATTTGTCCTCACATCCAAGCGAGTGAGAAAATGTCAAGATGAGAACTGTCAGTTAGCACTTCCTAGCAAAGAAAAATGGCAGTCTGTTTGCATGAGGTGTGGTCTCCTTTGGCCAAATGACCTGTGTATGCTTGATCATGTCTGAGCTTCTGTTCCATCCCTTTAGGGGTTAAGACCCAGCTTAAAACAAAACAAAAAAAAGAAGCTCGTTCTCTTTCTTTAAGTAAGTGTAATCTCCTGTCTTTGGGAACGAAAAGAAACTATGCACGGAAGATAAAGGAGACTAAATGTTCTTTGGTCACTACTTAAATCCAAGGTTCTCCTTTCTTGAATAGCACCAAATCCCTGTTAATTACAACCTAGACTATGAGTCTGTTAAAGTTAGAAGAGGTCATTTACTTTAACAAAATCCCCTTGTTTTATAGACAAGGACATTTTGGCCCAGGAAGTTTAAATGCCTGCCAAAGTCATACAGCTAATGAATGACAGGTCTGGGAGCAGTTTTCTGAGCACTGCATTTCAAATGAAAGGAGCTTGAGTTAATAGTAATAACCTAGATCTAGGAAGGTTGTTGCAATCAATAACCATGAAATTCGTTGCAAAGTTTCACTTAAAATCTATAAAACAGTATGCTTTAACACATGAAGAATGCCTTTTGATTATTCAGACCTGTTCTTAATAACTATGCGCTGGAAGTATGTTTTACCAAAGCTGTAAGTCTGGAATAGCTGAAAAGGCCCCCAATTTTCTTTTCTAATTGATTTACTTCTCCTTTTTCCCAGACCGCCGAGGTAAACCATATGCAGTTTATTTAAGGGACTGTTTATAGACTCCTAAGACTAAAAGGACCCCAGAAACTTGCTTTCTTTTCATTGCTCTTCATTAAAACCATCCAAGATGATTGGTTGTCCATCAATTTCTTAAGTATCTCCAAGGAGAGAAGTTCCACAAGCCACTAAAGAACATGTTAAAATGATTAATCACCATGGCTGTCAAAAATTTTATCTATGGTGAGCTTAACTTCTCCTATTTCACTTAAAATTCTTTTCTTCTTGCTATGTTTCATGCAAATTGAGGTTATAGCAAACCACCCTCTCTGAGGGCCCCATCAATCTGGTAAGATAACAGCTAGCTCTTTCCCAACGTGCCACTTCCATTAGGCCACCATTTTTCTCACAGGACTATGAATGTGCAAGATTGGTTAATACATTCTCTTCCTATGAAGCATAGGGAAGAATCAGTAATTAGCTCTTCATTGGAACTCCCACTTCATAAAATGTCTGGGGAAGCTGCATTAATTATAGAGGAACTGTTCTACTTATACTGGGAAGGTGTTCACAAAACAAGTAATCCAGAAGGTTGTTTCCTTGGGCTATAGGAGACCTTGTGCTTGGACAGAAAATATAAGCTCATTCACAACATTGGCTCAATCTACACAAAGTAAACATTACAAAAACATTTTATTCAGAGCTCTTCTGTTTCTAATATGGTTTAGAAAAAGGCTCTACTTGTTAAATATTCTGGCCCAACAAAAAAGATAAATATGGAGGCAATTTTCTTTTAGATGTTTGAATTTCAAACTAAGATCAGAAACCTGCCTTCCATTATTTAAAACACCCCTATACTTTCAAAATGGATTGGAAGCAGCTTAAAATAAAAGGCACAGCCACAGGAAGACTTTGAAAATAAGGGTAAAAACAGTAAGAGTCAATTGACAGGGGATAGAGGTGGGGAAGACTGCATTCCTCTAAGAAGTATTTCAAAGACTATAACTGCTTAAAGCTGACTTCTCCACACACAGTAAATCTCAGGAGACAAAAAGGAAACTCAATAAAATTTGTTGACAACAGTTAATGCCCGTAAGAATAATTGGCTCAGACACAAAACAGACTATCAGTGTAGCTTGGGGGCGACAAAATGCAGCCTCTAAGTCATTGTTAGTACACACTGTATTCAGCTGTAAAACGAAAAACAGTTTGATCAATTCACTGGGTAAATATGAGATGAGAATAATTATCCAACATACTTGACAAACCTAATTCTTGGTGGTTCTGAATACTAAGGTACCAGGTAAGTAATTCCATTCCGTTCAATTGGATTCCGTTCAATTCAATCCTGTCAGTTCAACAATCAGCCAGTGAGTTGCTTCTGTATCAGTCAGTCATTGACCTAGACACTGGGATTCAATGATAAATGTGGCCTTTGGCATCAGGAGACCGATGAGAGAGTAGATCCTGATTAGGTGATTTTAACAATGGGACAACATATTCAGGAAAAGGATGAAGGACTGTAATCTACCCTCTCTTGATTATTTTTCTCTCATGATACTTGATATTAGTTATGGACATTTTTTTCTAACATCTCAACTCGACTGTGAGCTCCTTGAAGACCAAGTCAGTCTCTCATTCATTTCTAAGCATCTCATTCATGCAGTGTATATTAGTGTCTTTTACATAGCAGATGTTCTATCAATGTTTAGAATTAAGGAATTTAAAGGGGTTAACTTCTTTTGGCATAAAGGATTGTCCAGTGGACTGAAAAGTGAACAAGAATACTTTTGGGCATGAGGGTGTATGTCAGACAAAGGATTTCCATAAGTCATGGAATTCTATAAGGCAGAACTTATGAAACATAGACTTTCAGTGACAACAATAATATACAATTTATAAAACCACTTTCTATCTGAAGTCATACTCTAAACATCAAGAGTTGCTATATATAACCTTTCCTTTTTAAGTCATTAAAAGAGAATTTAAAAACATTTGCTAAAATTTGATCATTGTAGTAACAATAAAAGGATTCTTCTGGTGCCTTTAAGCTGGTTCCCATCGTAGTTGTCCAATACTCTCAGCTGTCTCTGAGCACATGTATGTGTCACATGGTTACTTACAACCAAAATCATTACTTCAATTCCGATTTTGCATCATCTAATGCAAACATCACAGACATTGAATGGTCCAGTTTCTATGCACTGTGCATGGAAATCCTAGAGCATGTCAGGTTGAACAAGACTATTCAACCTGGCACATAACAGAAGACACTTCTAGGCTTTCCGATCACCTAGTGAACTGGATCAAAGGAAATCGCATGAGTGGATTATCAAGGCAAAAAAAAATCCTCTTGGGCATAATAAGTGAGAACCATTTATTCGTTTTTAAAAATGTAGACCAGTAGCAGCAGAGTGAAGAATAATGGCGCTCCATCACTGGCTGATACTGATGTCACACATTTCCCTTCCGCTGGACATTTTTAAGGTAAGACACGTCTGTTATTTAAAATGCACCCGCTGTATGAACCCATTCATCTGCACTGCAACAGAGAACTGGGTAGAATTGCTTTACAGACAAATGGATTCGCTCAATTAAAGCACTGGCTGGAAATAGAATGGAAATTTGCCCATTCAAGATGTAGAAAGCACTTCTCATTCTGTTACTAGTTATTTAAAGGCTTGTTTCAAAATCTATGGTGAGTGCAGATCCCTAGTCCCCCTACCAGCCTCTTCCTTCCCATCTCCCCTACTCATCCCAACCTGCATATGCAGACCCCTTCCCGGGGTCACACACACACACACCACCTACCCTGGGAAGAAGGTGAGAGAGACCTGGAGTGTGTGAGTCATCACAGGAGCTATTCAAAGCTTAGTGAGTAACTGAGGTAAGCTGTCTACACTTGAGCGATACAAACCTTTGCAAGTGATTCACGCTCACTGAGAACCTGAGCGCCAGTATCCTGGAACTCACTAAAATTCCAAAGAACTATAGAGAATGAGCATCTGGCTCTAATTCTTTCACTGCCCTGTAATATACAATGAGACAGATGCCTCTGAGTTAGATTCTTGAAGTGATCTCTCCTTCAGCAGCTCTGACTCTTGTTTGTGGTTATTATTTGTAAACACTGACTTGACTGCCTACATTTTATTGACTGTCGACTTTTTAATCACTGGAGACCTACCTATGGGGTAACTAGCCCTGTACTTGTCAGAAATCTTTTCCCAGATGGAGATATCAAAGGAAGGCAATAAAAAAAATCAAGGTCAATTTGCATAGAGGGCAAATTAATACAGCATTTCAGTTTGCATTTAGAGAGAACCTGTGTATTTGCAAATGTGCCTTTGAGGGAAGTTCACCTCCTGCCTGTTCCTGGGGCTTCCACTTTGCATGGAGACATCTGGGACGTGCCCCTTCTTTTTCCAAGTCCACCTTACTGTTGCCCTCCAAATTACCTAGCACTTAAAACAGGCCTACTTGTTTCAGTATGTGCACCCGCAGTTCTTGAAGACAGCAACCTCAATCCCCTGGGTCATTTGTGTCCCATCCTTTCAGTGAAAGGAGTGGAATAGTGAGAGTAGAGCACAATAGATGAAGGAAAGCTCAGCAGGATGTCGTTAAAAGACAAACTGCTAAGGAGGAAAATTCCATCCTAAATCTGTAAAACCTGCGACAAGCGCCGCTGAAAACTAGGCTTCCTTTAAGGTGGGGACTCCCAGAGGCTGAGGACGGGTGGTCATGGGTAGCCGTTCAGTTATTCACACACTCCCTGCAGTTGTAAATCCACAGAACAGTGAGAGGGAGGGCTACTTACTGAAATAAAAGCCCCTGTCTCCACACACGAACTGAAGTGCATCCACCAACTCAGCCCCACAGAGCGTCTCCGGTCCAGCCATGGCAGAGCTGGTGAAGGTAAGCAAGCACAGGGCCAGATAGAAGACATGCGAGGAGGACATGATGTGCGTCTCCACCTGCCGAGGAAATGGAAGGATGGTCATGTTCCCTCCTGGGTCTGGCAGGGCCAACGGGTGTGAGGCAGTGGTGTATTTACCCCCGGTATTCCCTTACCGTCATCAATCAGAGCCACCCTGCACAGAAATGCAGCACTGGGCACGTGGGAGACTGCAGGGGGCACGGACTGAGCACATCTTGGCATCAAGCAACCTGTGTTTAGTGCTCTTGCTTCTGGGGAGTCTTGGAGAAGTCCTCCCTGAACTCTTTCTTTATGGGTTCCTATTACAATTCGATGAGAGGAAATATCTAGAAATATTTACTATGGAAAGAAAAGATGCTCTTGCAGTGGGATCCACACTGCTTAGAGGTTCTGGTAAACCTTTGGAATTATCAAAGGTTAAATTATGCTGAGTCCAGATTTGGGACCAAATGTGTTTTATCAATTTAAATTCTCTAAAAATTGGCCATCTACAGATGGCATATGTATTCTTTATGGACCAGAATATTAAATTAACCAGAACATCAATCCCCAGCTACTGATTAAAGAGAATTTACTGTGGCTAAAAAAAGACTTGTGAAGATACTACATATTGTTCATTCTTTTTCCCCTTCACTTAATGAGAGACAGACAGATTTCTTACCTGGGGGATATCAGCAGTTACCATAACCACAAGTGAAGTAAAAAAAAAAAAAAACAGGAAAAAATGGGAGGATTTAGGCATGAAATTGACTCATGCTAAGTAGACCCTACTCCTGCATCCTAAAGTCCCTTGTGTCAAGCTCAGTATCAAATCAACACATGTGCAGATGGTGCCTTCCGTGAACAGGCCACTGGGCGTAAAACCTGCAAGAGCCTTTTCTTCAGTCACAGGAATTCTGACTTAATCTCTTGTAGGGACTTCTGTGTCACTATATCCATTTTATAGCAAAACATACCGAAGGGCCGCTGGTTGGCTTGACTTAGCCAGTGACAGACAGCCCTGCCAGCAAGCAGGCTTCCTGTGGCTCAAGCCTCCTTGTTAATACTAAGCAGGAGAAATAACACTAAGGTGGTCATGAAGTTTTTCCATATTGCTACTTGTGGCACAAAGGTACAGTTTCTTCCAGGAAGCCCCCCAAGGTGAGTAGCTTCATCTCTCAGATGTATTTACTGTCAGAGGCATTGGGAGAGTCCCTGACAGGGTGTTAAGTGAGGGATGCTATCAAAAGGGCCATGGAATTGTGCTGGAAGCTATCATTATGAAGACAGGCTTTTCTGAACCTCCCAGCAGTGGCAGGCCCATTCAACCCCACTGCTTTCAGAGAAACAGACTCAGTAATTTATTTTCTGACCACCCTCTTCGCTCTTCATGAACTCTCAACTGAATGGCTCTTTACATCAGTGACCAAGTTTGCTCCATTATTTCAATTAAGATTTCCATTTTTGTGGCCAGACCTTCAGCTTAGCAAATGGTAAAAAATCCTAAGACCCAGATTCTCGTAACACAACATACATACTTAGTTAATGCTTATAAAACACTTGAAGATGGAAACACCCCTCTATTTTCAATCATCATAAATAATGGACATAAAATAGAAATCAAGATGAAAGCTCAGCTGGACATTTCTTCCATTTTCTCAAAGGACCTCTGCATGGAACTCCTCCACACCCACGTAGCTGAAGCCACTGGCACTGCTAGAAACAAGTTATTATCCAAGCCACATTTTTCTTAGTTATAAAATAATCAGTGGGGGGTTTTCCCCTCCAGTATTTCCAGTGGAAACCTCAACAAATCCAACTCAAGTGGACTAAACTGCCCTTTTCAAAAGAGCAAATTCGTAACTGATCTTAGAAAACATACCCCACATTCTGGCAAGGGGCCAGCTCTAGAATGTATGATATTCTACCACCCCTATTTCTCCATCCCTCCCTTCTTTGTTGAGTGTATAGTAATGCTGAAGGTCAAGTGCCTGCTGTTGTAAATGCCTTCAAGTTCTTCAGTTCTCATGAAACCCAGTACTTAACTTACAGCATTATTGAACTTGAGAGCTTCATTAGATATCAAAACTGTATTTTTAATAGTTAAGTCTGATGTAACACATTTAAACCCAGCAATACATATGAATTCCAGCATTTAACAATGTAAGATTTACCTTTTACAAATTTCCTTTTTGCCCCTGAGTTATGTTGCCAGATAAATATCAGCACTTATAGTTCTAGGACAAGTCAGAACCTCGAGGGCATTTTCCTTCAGTTCAGGGAACAGTCCCTTCCACTTACAGAGAACCAGAGACTATTACATTATGTTCCCCCAAAAACAATAACGAACTTGCTTAGGAGTTAAAACTTTGAAATAAGTGGCCCCATATGTTCATGTCCTTGGCCTTCTATTGTGCCAAACACATAAGAAATGAAGAGACAGAAAGGAAAGACAAGACAGAAAGGAAGGAAGAGCCAGAAAGAGAAGAGGAAGAAGAAGAAAAAAATTTCAGAGCACTCTTTCTCAAACATCATTCACAAATCCAAAATTTAAAAGACCTTTCTTTTTATCTTAAATGGAATATCAACTGATTCCAGATGTCAGGGCTACAATGAAAATGGCCAGCAAAATTTGAGGGCAATAGTCATAAGAAAATACTCACTGTAGGTGTAACCATTTTTGTTTGTTCCAGATCTTTTACAGCAGGTCAGGGTGGGTATTATGAGACTGATGTGAATAGAAAACTGAGGACTTAAAAACATGTGCTGCTTTGTGGGTGGGGTTTGCTGAAAGCATCTAGTTACATTTGGACACCCAGGCAGGTATGCTATGAGCCTGGGTAAACTGCCTTTTGTCCATTCAAACAATGAACAAATTGCACAGCTGGGATTTGAGTCAATCTTCCCTCCCACCCCCCCACCCTGTCAAGCCACCAGTTTCCATTGTGTGTCTATTGTAGCTGTCCGAGCAGTAACTCAAGCTCCAGTCCTCTCCCTTACCCTTTTTCCTCTGACTCAAACACTTGGAAATATCTTGAGACTCACAATACAATCAGCTTGGGAGTTCTGCCTCTAGGCAGGACACCTTTACTCACTGAATGACATTTAAAAGACCAAGCAGCTCCCTCAAACCATTTCTTACTCCAAGTACAGGAAAAAGTAACAACTGATTGCTAGCTCTACTTCTGAACAGTCCAAAAAAGTTCATTTGGAGACAGTTTTCCAGACTTGTAACTAATGCAGAGACAGTACTCTACAACCTCGCTTATGATCATCTAAAAATAGGGAGACAAAGCCCCTAGCTATCAGACCACATAGTGTATGTGTATACTGACTTCATTTCTTTTAAAAGCAAGGTAGACAGCATGTTGTCTTGGCATCTCAAGCACAGCAGAATCAGGTGCCTGACAAGGATGTGTCCTTAACTCCTTAGCCACTTACTTGACTAAGAAAAATCCTAGTGGTGGAGTATTTGAAAGCAGTCAATGAATACTGTCCTCAGTGGCAGGGACATTTTATGAATTGAGCTCTCAGGCAATTGCATCTGGAACCAGTGACAGCAGCTTAAATGTGCTTGCAAATTGGAAAAACACAAGTCTTGAAGGATATAATTTTGCTGAGAATGGAAACTTGAACTAGGGCCAGTGATTGGAAACAAGAAGTCGGTGCATTAACAATGGCAGCCAAATTCACCTAAAGAGACTTCACAACACTCAGTATAAAATCAGTTTAACAGCACAAAACCCCAAGTCCAAACTTCAACCATGAAAGTCCTCTTCAAAAGAGACAACTTGGACAAGCAGTTGCTAGAAAGTTTCCTTTTCCATATACAGTATGCATTTGTTTAAATTATATGAATATGCAAGGTCAGCAAGAGTTATCAAGGAGTTCTTTTTTCAAAGAGCAAATTAAACTTCACTCTAACTTTGACTCTCTGGGCATAAGTGTAGAGAGTTCTGGGACCTTAGCTCCAAAGATCATATTTAAAAGCTTTAATATCATCTAAAATATAATTCCTCATATATGGCATGCCTTATAATAAAAGTCCTGGCACGTTACACACACACATACACACATACACATGCTCATGCACACACAGACATGGTCTTAAAAATAAAACATCTGCACCTGCAAAAAAAGAAAAAAAATCCAAAAGTTCATAACCATGTTCTATAGCCCTTAACCACAGACAGGATTTAAAGGAATCTTCTGTAATGACACTACTGAAGCTCTGCAGAAGTGGAGGATTTAGTGTAAGTACCTTGCAATAGTTTCTACTCACACAGATATCTGTGCAAAGGCATCCATCTCCCGGAGCTATTTTTTCAAATCCCACAGAATTGCATATTCAGCAATTTATAAATAACTCCCAGTTCCGAAACAATGAAAATTCTAAAGTGAATAACATTTCTAGGCAGAAGCAAACAGTACACAATTTAAAGAAAATTCCCCAATGACTTCAAAGAGTAAGAAATATTTACCTTCAAGAAATCACAAAAGCAGCACTTAAATAATTGGGTTGGAAGACTGCTGATTTTTCCCATTGCTTCTGAAGTGCAAAGTCTGGAAATGAATTGGTTAGCAGGAATAATGAAGCAAAAAGAAATCCAGAGAGATGGGAGATGTTGAGAGCAATGTCACATTTCAATTTTGAGGACTTTATTCCATTGCGCAGGCTCTATCTGCTCTGAATTTAGCAGTGACAGTGAGATTTAGCAAACAGAAGAGGGATTTAGAGAAAATCCTCACATTTATCTACAAAACACAGACACTGTAGACAGGAAACAGCTGGGGGAACATTTGCCTTCTCTCTCTCTCCCTCTTCTGGCAAAGTTATCGAGTAAGGACTTTTTTGGGCATGGTGACAAATAACATCATACCTTTGCATTTTAAAACTAGAGCACTGAAGCATTTTTTTCCCTTAAAAGAATGTGTGTTAGTGACAGGGTTAGCAGACATTAAAATACTGATGCTGCCATAGAAAATAAGGATCTGTTCTTTGATTAACTTTCTACTAGGCATGAAGACACACATAGTTGCTAATGCACCTTACCAGTATTAAAGGAATACACAATAGGGGATGGGTGTGCAATGTTATATTCTAGGAAATGCAAAATTAAAAATCAAAGAAATGAAGAAAAGACCATCTCAGGCAAACCTGACAGTTTTAACCCCTAAATGACTGGGGTAAATAAATTGGAAGGCAGTGCTGGGGTCACTCCTTGTCCTAGTTGCCAAGCAAAGGGAATGATCTCATTTCCTAGAACCTAGAAAAGGGGCAGGCAGCATTGCAACTGGCTCCCTTTAGGACACTGTCTCATGCTTTTTGCCCACAACAGGGCAAAGACTTTGCTGAGCTGTAAAGCAAACTGAAAAAATAAAATCTTTTTCTTCCTTCCTCTACTAGGCTGTCTATCATCCCCCAGGGGAAGGGCATTTCAGGAGCAAATCATTTTCCTCTTGTCATGTTTTTCTGCATAATTTGAACCTGCGTGTGTGTGTGTGTGTGTGTGTGTGTGTGTGTGCATTTTTTGTGTATTTTAAATAACACCAGCTGGCCAGCAATACCCTCTCAAGGGTTATGATGTCATTCAAATCCCTCCACTGGACGAGTGGCCGGCAACATGGTCCAAGCCAGCTGTTTTGCTATTTATAATGAATACTTGCCTTTGCCATTGACAATCAAGTTTTGATCTTTTCTTGATACAGTCTGTACCAATTTCTCTTTGGTTTTGCGAGATAGTAGATAAGAAAGTGGATGATGAAATGAGGTTGCAAAAGCCCAGGTCAGACATACCACTTTCCCTAGATGTCTGTCCAGGTGTGGTTTCCCAGAGATGGTGGAAGTAACCTGGACCTTGCATTTCTCTCTCGTGATTCTCAGGGGACTCGATGACACAGACGCATCAGCTGAAAAGAGGTCTGCTGGAAACCCTAGTCTGGATCTTTATTTGGTCCTGCAGCCAGAAAGCTGTTTGCAGAGGCGAGTGCCCTCAAAGGAAAACCTGGTTGGTTTTGAAAGGGGGTTGGGTCTGGTCAAGTCTTTTGTGTGCTTAATAACTTGTGGCAATGTTTACCCTCCACAAAGAAAAGTTAGAAATCTGGAGTTACACTGTTTCAGTGGTGGGCTACGTTCAACGTTATTTTGTGATTGTCTGCTCTATGGCCCACTCTAGGCAGCACGGTCAAGGCCCCACAGGAGCCTTCAGTTGAGTGACAGATTATCTAGAAAGACAGGGAAGTGAAAGCCTTCTGAAAATCCAGAATAGGGGCAGAGGGACACGTCATGAGAGGCTTTAGGGAAGTTTTAATGGATATGATTTGACCTGAAGAGTATACATATATGCATCAAGAGGTGGCCCAGTAGGCAGCTGCAGGTGTGTGGGCAATTCCTGTCCTGAAGAATAACCCAAGACTTCCATTAATGAGCTCCCTTTTTTGCACTTAACTTATGACTTGATTTACCAAACATCTTTTTTTTTTTCTTCTACAGCTTTTGTGAATCATGCCCTTTGTGAACAACAAAGTCCATCCTCCTTTCATGGACTTTGATGATGGAGAGTATATTGAGCCGAAGAGCTGCACCTGTCTTCCAGGTAAAAGAAGTGCAATTTCCAAGCACACAGAGGTACCAGCTGGAGTGTTGGTGCTGATTGCCTTGCTCCACAGCTGCGCATCTTCACAGGTGAAGGCCAGGACTTTCCCATGGCAATTTTAGCATATTGTAATTGTTCCAAGATGTCCTAGAAGCTCCCTGCATTTCTCTAAGGCTGTAACCCAGTCTGACGGACTCTCTTGGTAGGCACTGTGCACAGATCACCTTATCCCCAACCCTTTCATGTGAAAGGCTGCTTGGGGAGACAGAACATAAAGCATTCCATCAGACCCTGTGCTCCTGCGAGAGTGACACACTGACTCATAGTCTCTTGGTTTTATAGCCCCAATTACCCTTAAAGGATAATTGGGTTTTAATGTATGTCCCAGTTTTTATGTCACAATCAAAGAAAACTGAAATTTCGGTGAGTCGTAATTATCATCAGCTGTGCTGTGGAAACATTCTGATGTGAGCTCTCAGTTTCCAATAGGGAAAGCAATTTCCTGAAGTGATTACTGTATACTTCAGTGTGGAGAATGGTCTATATTTCTGGGTAGGGTGAGCCAGCCACAGAGCAGGGCAATAATTCCTAGAGAAATGGCTATTTTCTTTGCTAATTCCAGGAGTCAATATGAAAGTGAAATGGCAATAAATGTGCCACATGATTTCCTTTTAATAACTGAGGGCTGTACCTGTTTAGGAAAAAAGAAATGAATGCTGCTTTTTATTACTAGAGAGTCCAAGGTGGTAGTAAACCTAATCCCAGGAAAAGTTCAGGTCATGAAGTCCCACTGGAGAGAAAGATACAGGGTCATTCTAAAATTACTGAATGATTATGTAGTCTCCTGCTGGGAACAATCTGACAGTTAGCTATGGGAATTGTGTGCCACCAAAATAGCTAACTGCAAGGATGCGCTCATCATGAGAACATCCACTCCTGGAAATTCAGAGATTCACAGTTTCACCTTTTGCATGTGTAATGCCTATGGGATATAAATAACTCTCCCCTAAAACCTTCTTCTTGAGTAACATATTTGCATAAAGCTGCAGCCTCACAAGACTTCTGACACCTTTCTTAAAAAAAAAAAAAGTTGTTCATCTTAAAGAACAGGCAGATTGAGATTTATAGGAAGGGGTGGGCAAGTCCCAGTCCCCACTCTTTTTGTTCAAGCCATGTTCCCAGCCTTCCCCTTGCCAACAGCAGAGAAGCTCATACACCCGTTTGCAATAGGGTGTATTTACAATTTATTTCATTAATGTGTTTGCCTACCCCTAGGAAAAGCTCCGAATGGGTATTTGGAGGTAAGGGGACTTTGGGATCAAGTAAAGGGTACGGTCTAAGGTTCTAGGGCCACCCACCAGGCAAAGAACTCCTGGATGTGTCTCTTGGATCATGGTTAGTGGGGAGGGTTGGTCTGGGAGTATATTCTCCTTGAGATCAAGAGCTTGTCAACTGTGAAACTCAGAGGAAAAGGCTGGAGCTCAAAAGTACAATATGCTGCTGAACAAGGGCGCCAATGTCAGCTCCAAAAGATCCGCTCAGAAAGAGCTCTGTTAGTCCCCAGAAAGATCTTCTATAGCTCACAGGAGCTGCTTTCAATCCTTAGAGGAGCATTTTCCCCACAGCTAGGGAAAACAGTAATAGGGAGAAGAAATCCTCTCACTAAAGAAATCAATGCCTTCTTTTCAACATCAAACTTGGATCTTATTTCTTCAAAAATGTCAAAAGGGCAAATACTGAAAACAGTCAGAAGCAAAACCGTTGTGGTTTTGGGAGCAAAAGAATTCTTCGTAATGGCAGACGAGGAGTCACTGCATGGGGAGAGTATGGATTCGTGGAATGAGGGAACCTGAGGGCTCACCACAATTGCCCCAAGTTGAATATAAAGTGGGGAAAGAAAACACCAGCTCCAAACGTCAGGGGTAGCACCCACGTCCGCGCTTTCTTTTGGAATCGAAAAATGTGCGCGCCCCCTAGTGGCCTATAGGGAAACCGCCGGCGCTATCTGAATCGCAGGTGTGTGAGTTCGGGAGGAGTGGGGCGTTTGGAACAGCTCTCAATTCAAATACATTTCGAGCTGCATTTATCTTTAGTTTTAATAATCCTTTTAAAATAGATAAGCAAGGTATTTGATTCACGGTAGTGTTTATAGGGGGAAGGGTGCCAAGAGAAGAAAGATGATGATAAACTTCATGGGGGTGTGGATCTCTTTTCTGTGGCCGTAGTCCTAATGCTTAACCCCTGGTGCGGGCTCATTCATCAGATCTTTCATTATGATCCATTCAATCAAAATCTGGAAAATAAATGACGATAATGGTAAACGATTTCATATAAAAAAAATAAACTCTCCAAATGTGAAATGTCTACCTTCTTCATGGGGGTGGCATCAGGGGATAGAAAAGTGACTTGTTCCATGAAACAAATTTAGGTGCTGGAAACTGGATCACAAATTCAGTCTCCTTGTCCATTCTTCACTCTCTCTACTGCATAAGTGTTCAAAAATGTAGGCCTTAACACTGATGGCCAAAGACACAGCACTGAAGAATCACGGAAGTGTGGCAGTAGTTCCCTTTTCGATTTTCTTTAGATCCTGCATTTACCAAGAAGAAAGTCTTGGTTTGGTACTAGCCTGTCTTCAGTGCCTCGAACTAACACTTGCTAATCTCCCTTTTTGACAACAATAAAAAGATTCCCCCAAAACAAACAAAAACAGACTTTAAGGCCAAAGTCTTTACATGCAATGATTTCATCTAGAATTTAATAATACTGTTTTGTTTTAAAGAATAACTTATGTAGGACAAATGACGCTTTTTTTTCTGAAATTCATATTTTAAAGCTTAGTTTAAAAATACACATAACTTGCTTTTTAAAAATCAATTTAAGAAATAAATATTTTTAAAGCAAGCAAATAATATTACAGGCAGTCAACAGTTGCGACACAAAAAATGTGTAATTGACATTTGAATGTCTGATATTTGGAAATCACTGCAGATAACATGCCATATGTTAGGGGGAAATATATCTATATCTATATCTATATATATATCTACATATATATAGATATATATACACACACATACATATAACCAGAATGAAAAATCAGGAAACAAAGACCCTGGATATAAAAACTGCCACCATATAAATGTATTAATTATGTGTCTGGATAATTTAGATTCCCTTTAAGCTCCCATTAGTTTTTCATTCCAGTCTTTCATAAAGCTTGGAGATGTTGAAAAAGTCTTGGTAGAGTGAAAAACATTTGAGTCAAGTGTTGAGGCATAAGTTCACCAGTAAGATGAGAAAACTGTGAAGGCCATTCTAGGCAGAGGGAACACCATGGCCAAAGTTGCACAAGAAGAAGGGGTTCCTGGCGTCACAGGGATGCAGGAGTGAGGCTCTGGCCATGTGCTCAGACCCCAGCTCTGTGGAAGCCCTTTAATCTCCTCTTTTCCCCATCAGTAGACTTCGCATAGCTGCAAGACTGGAAAACAGACTCAATTCTCTCGTGATTCCTTTGTATACAAAGATTTGTATGTAACCGAATCTGTGATTAACTCCAGAAATGGCATAGCGCCTCAAGGTAAATATGTAACAACGGATCCAGACTGCATTATAATCTAGGTCAACTGGGCGATGCTGGGTAAGAATTGGTTGCTGAACGGTCTTGCCAGAGATTCTGTTTTGAAAGATTTAATTGTGGTGTTTATACTTTGGTAAGTAGATTTTAATGGAAAAATGAAACGATTCCATGTGATAAAAATTTTCCACAATAAGGGTTGAGGCAGAAAAGTATTGTTTCTGAGCCCTGGGCTTCCTAGAAAAAGTGGCTCATCAGAGCATCCCATTCTTCATGTGGGTCAATTAAGGAAGTTCTGTTGTGCTTGTTGAGAACAGAACACATAGCCTTCAGCCTCAGTTCTTTACTCTAAGTGATGGCTGGAGGACATTTCAGACTTCTTGTTGTGGTTCCCTACATAAAGAGCAGTTTGGGTAATCAACTGAAGAGGAGACACAAGATCTAGGGGACCCCTTAGTGGTGACCCATCTGGTGGCATATGCCCATGGAGACTACATCTCATCCTTGGCCCAAGACAGATCTTGGAGACGGAATGGAAGTGTGCTGGGGATTATCTTGGCAGATGTCCAGGCATACCCACAACACACTTTTCTCCCTTTCACTACCCCTTGGTGAAGGCTTCAGTTTTTTTAGAGCTCAAAATAAATATTTAAACCCAACTATATTAGCCAGTGTTCTCCAGAGAAGCAAAGCCAACAGGATCTATCTATCTATCTATCTATCTATCTATCTATCTATCTATCTATCTATCTATCTATCTATCTATCTATCTATCTATCATCTACCTATCATCCATCTATCATCTATCTATCAATTTATTTATTTTAAGGAATTGGCTTATGTGATTGTGGAAGCTTAGCAAGTACAAAATCTGAAGCAGGCTGGAAACTTAGTGAAGAATTCTCTTTTGAGTCCAAAGGTGGTTTCCTGGCAGAATTCCCTCTTCTTGCAGAAGGCCAGTCTTTTTCTATTAAGGCTTCAAAAGATTGGACAGGGCCCACCCACTTAATGGAGGTTATCTGCTTTACTCAAAATCGACTGATTGAAATGTTAATTTCCTCTAAAATATACCTTCATAGAAACATCTAGAATATTTGACCAAATATCTGGGTACTGTGGCCTAGCCAAATTGACACATATGATCAACCATCACACTAGCAGTTCTCAAAAGGTCCACTCACTGGTGTTACCTCCCTAAAACTGAACAATTATAATAGTCTTTTCCCAGTTACAGAAAAGAAAACTCAAGTTAATGGATTACATTTCCCAATTCTAAGTTTTCCTCCCATACATTTTTCTTGAACCTTTGGCTCCTTCACTAACTGTTCCCTGGTCATTGCCAAAAGGAAGCCACAGGGTGCCTGCCTTGGATGTATCATTAATATTTGACAAAGATGCTGCTCATCAATGGCAAGAAAAATAAACAGTGTCTTGTTTTTCCCTCCACTGAGGGGAACAACTGTGCCTAGAACACACACACAATCACAGCACTCAAACACAGGCAACTCACATTTAAACAGCTTGCTTAGTTTCTCTAGGTAATAAGTACGTTCATTCCTTTATTTAAAAAATTGCTGTTTAGATCAATAGAGAGATGTTTCAGGCCTAAGGTGGTGTTTGGGGTGGGGCGATGGCCCCCCCCCTTTGGCAAAATGGAGAGCGAGATTTCCCACATGCGTTTGCCTCGAGAAACTGACTCTATGCCTAGCCTTATGAGGAGTTGTGGGGCATGGCCCTTTGAGTGACAGTGTAACGAGTAATTTTAACCTTCTTAATACTTTTCTGTATTTTCAAGTTAATAGTATTTCACATTCAGCTGGTATTACTTTTGTAGTCAGGGCAAGTCTCACAAAACAGTTACTTGAAACATCATTGGTACTATTCGTCTTCAGCATTGACTAAAAATGTAGCGTGGATGTGTTCGTGTGTTTGTGCATTTAGTGACTTGGCTTACCTTTTTATTCTTCAAAGCTTTGAGCCTCAGTGGTTATTCTCTTAGTCTTGGTTTGCTTATGTGGCATCTAGATGCACACATTCTTCAAACTTGCTCTCATTCTCCCACCTTCCTTTATAATGTCTTTAAAGTTCAGCCTCCTCCTCTCAGTTTGTCCAGCACTGTTCTAGATTGGATTGGTGAATTCCTGGATTACTGCAAAGGCTTCTTTCATGGCAATCTAGCCAATTCTGGTTGCTGGAATCACTTTCCTCAAATGCCATGTTTACATGTTTCACACTTCCTCAGAGTCCCTTGGTCACTTCCAAGTCTCTCTCCTTACATTCAAAACACTCCCTTCCTTAACAGGCTTCCCTCTTGCTAATGCCCATCATGGTTCCTTCATAACCTGTTACTTTTATGATGCCAGCATGTCCCTAGCCCCAGCATAGTACTTTTTTTTTAATAGACTCTCAATGAATATTTGTAAATTAATAATAACCACTAGCATTATTAAGTATTATATGCTATTCTGTATTTCATATTATTTTAGTTATGTCACCTAACTCTCACATGCCTCGATGAACTAGTCTACCTGCACTTTCATTTCAACATGCCTGGTGCAGTTTTTGGAACATACGAGATTCTCAAAAATATTTATTGGATAAATGAAGATAAAACAGACCTAGGATAAGTTAAATGATTTGCTTAATGTCCCATGGCTAGTAAATTACAGAGCCAGGATTCAAATTAAGGTTGATCTAATACACAGCACTACATGGTCACACAGTTTAGTAGATGGATGATCTCTTTCAATATTTTATTGTATAATCCCTACACTCCCCACAGTACAAACTTACACTATCATGAGTGCTCAATAAAGGGATAATTAATTCTAGACATGAGTTTAGAATAGTTGCAATAGCCATTTCCAAAATAGTCAATCTGAGAAGTTCAGAGATAACTTAGGATGGAGTCTGGTACACCGTGTTGGGAGCATTTTAGGGTAGAGTAACAGTGAAAGATTGTGGTTATTAGGCCACCACTTCCAGTCCGAGTTACTGCTCAGAGAAGAAGCACGTCCCTACAGATTTTTCACTATTCTATATTGCCTCTAATAAAATAAGCAACCGAAGCTGCAGAAATACACCATTATTCTTGAGAAACAAGGGGCACAAGAGTCTAAGACAGAAGCTCAGGCATAGCCTGCCTCAGACAGGAAGTCAGTTACACTTATACCCTTCCAGTTACAGTAAGAACAGAGGAGAGGTTTCCTGAGGTGCAGTCTTACTGTAGCTTTAGATGTGGGCAACTGCGGTAAAGTGACTCATACTGCAAAACGTCTACCTACTGAATGCCGCTCTGGTTTAGAGAAACTTTGCTCTGATGAGATAGAAGCCTTAACATTTCCCATGTAAGACGACTTATGCTCTACTTCTTAGAGTACTGGAGGTCAAAGCAAACTCAGTCTTTGGTGTCTATACTTTCTAAGGTTAGGGAAGCATCTGTACGTTGTTGGGAGATGGATAACATAACAATCCCCCTCAATCTGCCTTAGGATCAGTGCAGTTTGGGGGTTCTCAGAAAGTTCTTTTCCTATCTAACAATTCCCAAATGGAGCTCACGATGGATTTGGGGCAGTTCCTAAAGTCTTGCTGCCGTTCCTACAGTCCAAGGTAGGATGGTTTAACCAGATTGTTTGTTCACTGACTGGTGTTTTGGCCTTTTGCTCCCAGTTATTCTTTGTGCTCTTTTTTGCCCCCCTTTCTCTCCCCTCTTCCCCTGGCTAATGAATACTAGCTGAAGTAGTTCCCTTTCATCAGCTGCTCTC